TTTCTTTTCTTTTCTTTTCTTTTCTTTTCTTTTCTTTTCTTTTCTTTCTCTTCTCTTCTCTTCTCTTCTCTTTTCTTTTCTTTTCTTTTCTTCTTTTAAAATCTCTGTTTTAGCATTTACCATAGAATATTGTAAACATTTGTTTGCCTATCTCACTCTTGCAATGGAGTTCCTTGAGAGATCTGCCACTTTTATTTACCCTCTCAGCGTCTTCATGTCTTCATCTGTGTTTTTCATTGGCAAAGTGGGAACAGAGAGTCTCTTTAAAGGTTTGTTGTGGGCATTCCACTGCGTAAGGGAAGGAGAGTTCTTGGCACATATTAGGCACCCAATAATGGAAGCTATTGTTGTGATAATTATATTATTTATCCACTTCTGTATCCTCAGGGCCAGGCACAGTGCCTGATGTGTGATGAGTGCAAAATACACTTCTGGTGGATTAATGAATTAATTTATAAGTTTACAGAATATGGCTTCCAAATGAAAGAAGAATGTCTTTTTGTAGTGTGTATAGACTGGTGCAACAATGCCGTGCACTTCCCCCCGTCCCCCCCGCCCCATCCCTTTCCCTGCCTGGTGCTCATGCTCGGGCATTAACTTTTCTTGGGAAATTAATTGCTCTCTTATAGGTATAGAAAGTCTATTGACTGTTAATTCCATGTAGATGTGGCTTAATAGAGATAAGAAGACTTTCCTTCCTTGATCAACACCTCCTTAATCTACCTACTTTATGGTCCAGGGCCCAGTCTTCCTGTCCTGTTAACCTCTATACTCTCTGAATCCAACAACCAACTCCTGGCCACAGTAATCTGATCAAGATGAAATCTACAGTCCTGCTAACCCCAGATCCCTCTGATCTGTTGGTTCTGATCTATTCGTCTCTCTCAGTGTTGACAAAACCTGTTAGCTGATTTCCATTCCACCTCCTACCGCTCCCCTACTTTCTTTGAGGAAGATATTTGTGAATTATTTTAAGCCAGTCAAATCACTCCAAGAGTTAAGTGCTATTTTAGAGCCTTTGACTAGCGGTTGGGAAGGAAAGATTTAGGGAGGGAGACAATTTCACAGTCATATCCCATAAAAATTTCAAGTGTGTGGTAAGTTTCAACATATTAAGATACTAGTGTAAAGTTGGTCACCGTTCTCAGATACTAAATGCCAAAGTATTCAGTAACAAATGGCTCCTTAAAGCAATGCTATCGGGTGCAGGTGACACACATCAGAAGTCACTTGCTGCTTAAGAGAATGCCTTCCTTTACAGTGTCTTCTGAACAGACTGTTTTCCCTTGCTGTTTATTTCCACCTGGATGCAGAATTTTGTCCTCTTTGATCAGGACCGCTGTCTCTATGTCCTGGTCGGACTTTTTACCTCCCACCAGTCCTTGCCAATAAGTAGCTAGCTGCTGAGCCATCCTCTCCTCCAGAGATTTTGTGCTGGCTCTAGGGCCCTGCGTGGCTTTTCAGGGGGAGCAGACCTCCACAAGTTGATCGTGAGGTGAAAACCCTCTTGACTGATGATTTCACTTGCTTTCATGTGCTTTGTTTAACTGAATCCCCAGTCCACCTACCAAAGTACATCTCCAAACTGAAAAGCCATACCAGTTCCGGGAAGTCTTTCCAGATTGATAAGAACACAGAGGTTTTATCTTGTCTCAACATTTCCAGACCTCTCTATTGATTGTTCCCATCTCAGTTATGCATGTGGCACTTCCCTTCTTTCTCCTTTACCACTCATGCTCGTTGGAAGTCAGGCCTCCTTGATTAGCTGCTGTCTTCATTTTGCTCTCTGTGTATTCCCATCATTGCTGGTGCAGAGCATTATTCTAGTAATAGACTGGGCACAGTTAGAATGGAATGCCTTCCTTCCTTCCTCCCTCCCTTTGTTCCTCCCTTCCTTCCTTCCTTCCTTCCTTCCTTCCTTCCTTCCTTCCTTCCTCCCTCCCTCCCTTCCTTCTTTCCTTCCTTCTTTTCTTTCTTTCTTTCTTTCTCTTTCTTTCTTTCTTTCTTTCTTTCTTTGATCAGTGAATCCCAGGTATAATTATGACTTAATAAATGCTTTTTTATTGATGATGAAATGTTCTCTCACAGTCACAGACTGTACCTTCCTGTAATCCAGGTAGTATAGGTCATGGGGAAATAATGGTGGGATGTGAAAGCTGATAAAATCTGGAGTCACGTCTTATTAACAAACTGAAAACTTGGATTCCTTTTGGAACAATTTCTTTACATACATGGCACCAGCTCTGTTATGGGTTGGGACTAAAAATAAGTCCACAGTTTTCATCACAGATTGTGGAGTTTGGATAAAGACAAAGGACTTTCTAAAATGCCTGGATTGCTCCCACCTTCAGGGAAGTCACCACTCCACAAATAGGGTAGCATATTTTTTTTTTTTTTTTTCTGGTGAGGGCACCAGATTTTTCTCTGTATGTATATTTTGTTTTGACATATGGAATAATGAGATAATCTACCACTAAGTTTTGGAGGTATTGCCACAATCACTAATTTCACAGGGAAGAAAGATGATTGCAGTCATATTTTTGTTACTTTGTAGCTGTCATTCCTGGTAATAATTCATAACACTGTTGAATAGGGGTTGATATTTTATTCCGACCTATCAATAGGAATATGCACACGGAGAATGTTAAATTAAAGCTAGAAGGGACCCAAGAACACTTTTGTTTTCTAAATAAGGAAACAGATCCTTAGAGAGGTGACATTTAAGATTAGACAGCTAACATATTGCAAACCCAGGCCATTGGATTCCTAGTCTAGTTCCCTTTCCAGTAAATCGTACTGCCTCTATGAGTCTTGGCGCAGAAAATAGGGCAGGGCTGGTAATGTTGAGAAATTGCTCCCAAGTTTTGCCCATTTACATAGAAGTCTTCATAGTGCTTCATTGACGCCTTCACTTTTTACAGAGGTGTTATTGTGGACATAATCAATACGTGCTTGTGTATATGGAACGTGCATACCGGGTATGTAAAGTAATGAGACACTGTACTGAAAACTTTTGTTCCAGATAATGCTGAACCATCACGGACCTGGCCTGTAGGTCTTTGTGAATAAAGAAAATTAAATGGAAGGGCAGCAAATATTTGATATGGGGGAGAAGCGTCGAATATTGGAGAAAGGTCCAGAAAGGACACATTGTCAACTTCCTGTGCCTTTGTTAGGCCATGCGATTCCAGAGGCTCTTGCTCTGGGCTTATTGGTGGGGAGAGGGTGCCCCCCTGTTTCTTTTATCCTCTTGTTTCCAACCCTCTACCCCTCAGTGAGGTCCAGAAGTTTTTGTCTCCAGTAAATGTAAAAGAAAAAAAAAATGTGTATAATCCTTTCTTGATCTTATTTCCTATTTCTTGTAGGGACTAGTGTTGTTGACCCTTCTATAGAGTAAAAACAAAAAATGAAACAAAACCTCTAAACTTGTTAAAAAATCATCTTAATGTTTATTTATTTTTGAGGGAGGGAGAGAGAGAGAGAGAGAAAGAGAGAGGACACAAGTGGGGCAGGGGCAGAGAGAGAGAGAGAGAGAGAGACAGAGAGGAGAGACAGAATCCGAAGCAGTCTCCAGGCCGTGAGCTGTCAGCACAGAGCCCGCCGTGGGGCTCGAACTCACGAACTGTGAGATCATGACCTGAGCCAAAGTCGGACGCTTAACCAACAGAGCCACCCAGGCGCCCCCAAACCTCTAAACTTTTTGTAACCTCTCCCTCTTTGTACTTCCTTTTAAGTAAATCCCACTAGGCCTTGGTGGTGTCTCCCTCCACATTAGGGTTCACAGGGCTTCTCTTTTGCATCATTCAGAACCACTGGTGTGACGGTGACCCTAGGCCTCTGCTTAGCAGCATTATAATGAGGTCCTCTTTTTTGTTCTACTTCTCAGGGCAATTCATTGCCATGAAGCACAGGACTTCCCCTCCCAAGAGACTTTAGAATGTACGTCTCTCTTCCAAAATTATGGGCATCTTAATTTGTAATAAAATCACAAGAATGACTTGTGGTAAGTTTTTGGCAGGATCTAGAAAATAATGGCTTCATTTAAACATGAATCACTAAAATACTGCCTTCTTAACATAATTAACTCAAAGCAGCCCTTATTGTTTTGAATTAAGAGATTTCCTCCACAAATTTCTGTGCCTTACTGTAGACTTCCAGCATGGAGGTCTGGGCACCATAGCACAGAAAACTGTTTTCACAAATTTTCTTTTCTTTCAAACATAAAATAAAGACGCATCGCTTCTCATTATCTTCCTGAAGAGATATTCTCAGGTGTCCAGAGTACTAATAGGCTGATTATGACATGTATGAATAAATTATACCAAAGGTGTAAAAAGGGAAACGTTGAGAAATATCATTTTCCCTGAGGGAGGTTTTTCAGTAATCATGGGAGGAGCACGAGGAGGCTGCTGTTTAGTGAGGAGGGCATGTGGTTCGGAGCTTCACTGGGATAGGACCTTAGAATGCTCCCCAGTTCCCCTTGTCCTAAACAGGACTACAGTTGGGGCATACGGCAGTGGTGAGTCCAGAGATGAACTGGAAGCATGTGGGTTTAATGAAATATCACTGAGAGCTTTGCTTTGCTGTGAAATCAGTTGTCACACAATGGTGCTTCTGAGTCACAGAAAGAATACTGTTATCTTCATTCTTTATTTTTAAACATAGGTAGACTTGACCACGTTTAAGGTGATGAAGAAAAGACAACATGCTCTCCCCTTTGAGAACTTAAGACTCTAAAAGACAACATGATTGGTAGCCCAAATTGTAACTTGGATTTTTTTTTTCAAAAAAAAAATGTTTTTTTGAGAAAGAAAGAGATGTTTTGTTGACATTTGTGACAGCAACGCGTGGTGTGAAGGGTCGTCGGTGCGCAGCCACCCGAGCGGCAAGCGGGTTGCTTAGAGCGTGACGCCCAGTATTGACACGGGTGCAGAACAGGATGACCACGAACCTCAAAGAGAAGACTGAAAATCACTGTACAAAAAGGTAAGTAAAAATAATACCAATTTATCTATTCAAAAAAGAAAAAAGGGGCCAGCCCTTGAGTGGCAGAGCATGAAAAAGACGGAAGGACCCGACGCCTCGGGGGCACCGGTGGCCAGGTACCGAGCTGTGCGCCCGGCGAAGGGGGGCCGGGCCTGTCTTGGCTTCTAAAGCTTAGTTTAAGCGTTCCAGATTTTTCTCTTTTGGCGTACTTCTGTTTTAAGAACTCCTGAAGCACACCAGCCGAACAACCAGCCAGCCCTTCTTAGTCCTAAGGTCAAGACTAGGGACCCTCCCTTGGCGAGGCTTAAATCTCAATCAAGAAGGACTCTGAAGGAAATTCAGAGACTTTTTATCCTTGTCCCAATGACACTGATTCTTTCTTTCTGTTGCAAGTTAATCTTTGGTGATGAGGAAAAGTAAGGAGGTGTATGACCTACTTTCATTATAGAGAAAGCAGCTGACTAAGGAAAATGCAGCTGATTGGAGAAGGAAGGAAACGTTGGTAACGTAAGTATTTTTTCTTTTAGGGTGGGATGGGCCAGTTATAACATATCACAGTTTCACTTGTTAACACATTCCATGTTCCTATTAAGACAATTTTTAATAATTGTTGGGCTTGATTCCTTCTTTGAAGTAGGGTCCCATCTACTCTGCATGTGGAATACCTTTCACACTGAGTGATGTCCAGGGAGCAGAGTCAAGAGTCAAGCTCAAAGTCATGATGACCCCCGCAGTAGAGATAAATATACGAAGTGAGAGGAGTTTCAAAGGCAACTTTAAAAAATTGCATCTTATTCTTCTTTGATTTGGTTAAACACCCGATGATATGCAATTCGATTTTTTTTTTTAACATTTATTTATTTTTGAGAAACAGAGTGAGACAAAGCATGAGTGGAGGAGGGGCAGAGAGAGAAGGAGACACAGGATCTGAAGCAGGCTCCAGGCTCTGAGCAAGCAGTCAGCACAGAGCCTGATGTGGGGCTCGAACCCACGAACTGTGAGATCATGACCTGAGCCGAAGTTGGACGCTCAACAGACTGAGCCACCCAGGTGCCCCTGGTGGTATGAAATTCTAAAGGGCACACAGTGACAAGTTCATTTCCCTTCAACCCTCATCCTATGATGGTCTAGCTTTTCTCCCAGAGATAATCATTGTTGTTTTATTTTATTGTTCTAGAGATGGTCTATTAGAGGCTTCTTTTTAAAGAAAAATTTTTTTTGATGTTTATTTATTTTTGAGACAGAGGGAGACAGAGCATGAACGGGGGAGAGGCAGAGAGAGAGGGAGACACGGAATCCAAAGCAGGCTCCAGGCTCTGAGCTGTCAGCACAGAGCCCGAAGCGGGACTCGAACTCACTGACTGTGATATCATGACCTGAGCCCAACCGACTGAGCCACCCAGTCGCCCCTAGAAGCTTCTTTTAAAAATATGCTCAGTCAGTTCAGCATCCAACTTCGCTTCAGGTCATGATCTCACAGTAGGTGGGTTTGAGCCTCGCCTAGGCTCTGCACAGACAGCTCAGAGCCTGGAGCCTGCTTTGGATTCTGTGTCTCCCTCTCTCTCTGCCCCTCCTGTTTGCACTCTGTCTCTCTCTGTCTCTCAAAAATAAATAAAAATGTTTAAAAAATATTCTTTTAATCCTTCTGATAATATCAGGTCATGAGGTTCAAATGTTTCCTACCAGTGAACGGTATTTTGACCCCTTTTGGCAGGAGGGATGGGTCGCAACAGCTCCTGCTCCTGGTCGCAACAACTGAGACATCCGATATTGTCAGGGGCTCTATTAGTTTCCTGTTTCTCTGTTTTGAGCATTCTTACATGCGCACATCCTGATTTGGTTATACGTGGCCCAATTTCGTTGAGGCCCTCTGTGAATCTGGCCAAGATGAACATGCAGCATTTTTTTTTTTTTTTTTTTAGAACCATTTTTTAAAATAGCGATCATAGGATAGCCTGGGTGGCTCAGTCGGTTAAGCGTCAGACTTGGGCTCGGGTCATGATCTCGCCGTCTGTGAGTTCGAGGCCCGCGTCGGGCCCTGTGCTGACAGCTGGGAGCCTGGAGCCTGGAGCCTGTCTCGGATTCTGTCTCCCCCTCTCTATCCCCCTCCCCTGCTTATGCTCTCTCTCTCTCTCTCGCTCAAAAAAAAAAAAAAATTAAATAAATAAGTAAACATTAAAAAAAAATAATAAAAAAATAAAATAGTGATCATACTTTCTGAAGCATTAACGGAAGGACGTGTTATTCCCCATTTGTATCACTGTATCACTTTGAACTGTTACTAATAATAAGTTTGCACTGTCTGTATGCCACTGCCCCCAACTCTCTGAGAGTAATAACTTGGCATTAATTTTAGTCCAGGTGCATAGGTTTCAAAATCAAGGAGAGGAGAAGTACTTTTTTTAGAGGAGGTTCTTTCTGAGCGTGGTCATATCATCTGTATTCACAAAGAATGAAGTGTTCTCCTGTTGTATCCCTGATCCGGTTACACAGAAGCATTCCTTATAGCTCTAAATGGACACCTAAAAATTAAAGCCCATTACTATGAATGTATGTAAGATGTACTTTCTTTTCCTTGTTACATTAAAAGCGCAGAAACATGTCTGACCCAGATTAACATTTCTCAGGATTAGAATGAATAGGCTTTTAAATTGCTTTGTAACTGTATCAAAGTGTGTTCAAATACACTTTTTTTTTTTCTTTTCTCAGTGGTGGAAGAAAGAACATTCTTGAGAGTGATAGTCCGCATTTGCAACATTAAAACAGACACTGTATATAGCATCTCATTTCTCCCCGCTCCCACCCAGCCGGGAAACATGCCTGAAGGTAACAAGGGATTTGTCCTAGAAGCTCGCCACTGAAGTGCCTGGGGGTTTGAAGCCAGGCGACACTGGAGACCCGTCTCCAGGGAGGCAAAGACTGCCTTCACTATTGGAGCCAGACCGTTGACTGTGGTGCGAAAGCCCTGGTCTCTGCACACGGGAAAGGGTTTCCAAGCATGGTCTTGTAGGATGTTCATACCTGCTGTTATGGACTGAATGTTTGTGTCTCCCCAAAACTCACAGGCTAAATCTCTCACCCCCAGTGTGATAGGAGTTGCAGGTGGGGCCTTTGAGAGGTAATTAGGTTCAGATGAGGTCTCGAGGGCTGGGCCCCATGATGAGATTAGTGCCCTTTTAAGAAGAGAAAGAGAGACTTGAGCCTTTTCTTGGTCCGCCATGTGAGGACAGCGTGAGAAGACAGCCATCTGCAAGCCAGAAGAGGGTCCTCATGGAGAAACTTAATCAACTGGCACCTGGATCTTGAAGTTCCCAGACTCTAGATCTAAACTAAATAAACCAAATAAACAAATTCCTGTTGTTTAAGCCACCGGGTCAATGGTATTCAGTTACTGTAGCCTGAGCTGACTAGGACAACTGCATACTTTAATGCTACTCTGACATCGAAATTTTGACTTATTCCTCTTAGCCCTGTCCTCAGCGTTACTGTTTGCTTTGATTTGGGCCCGTTCTTGCCTGTGACCTAGACAGCCTGTCAGGTCAAAAGTCCTCATGGTATTCCGTGGAAACGGTTACTCCTCCAACATCTCCGAGTTCAAAGATTGAATCCCGGTAGATTCCCCTAACCAGGAGTATTTAGTGTTTTTGTTTTGTTTTGTTTTAAATTGCATTTCCTTGATAATTTATTCATTGCACTTAATCACCAACACTATATTAAAACAATTTCTTTTCCCTTGTCTGTGTGTCTCTATTAGAATCTTAGCCTTGTGAAGGTTGGGAGTTATTCTCTTTTGTTCCTCTCTGCACTGTCGGCAAGTAGCTAGCACAGTACCCAGCCCCAAGTGGTGCTTAGTGGATGACTAACTGAGGAGCACTCCCAGGCTGTGATTAAGGTCAGTAGGTGACAGAACCTTTGATTCAGGGCTAACTTGGTCCTTGAAAAGAGCTAAGGAATTCTTGGGATGCCATGTTTTGGTTTTTTTTTTTTCTTTTTTTGTTTGTTTTTTTGTTTTTATTTTTTTCCCCCCAGGGTGTCTCTTTCCATCACTCTCTCTATTGCTTGTCTGGATACTGTCAAACTCATTTCCTTGTTTTACTTTTTTTTTTTTTATTTTATTTTTATTAAAAAAAATTTTTTTTTCAACGTTTATTTATTTTTGGGACAGAGAGAGACAGAGCATGAACGGGCGAGGGGCAGAGAGAGAGGGAGACACAGAATCGGAAACAGGCTCCAGGCTCTGAGCCATCAGCCCAGAGCCCGACGCGGGGCTCGAACTCACAGACCGCGAGACCGTGACCTGGCTGAAGTCGGACGCTTAACCAACTGCACCACCCAGGCGCCCCTCCTTGTTTTACTTTAAATTGACTGCTCTAAACTGACCTGTGACAAGAAGACTGAACTACAAAATGGATTCCCCAGAGCTTCTCTAAAAGAGTTGATGGAAGACACTGAGGAAGCACTTGGCTGGATCTGTAATCTTAAGCAAATTGTAATACGCTCAGAACCAAGAAGAAATCTAGCACAGACCCAGAAGATTATGACCTCTGATTCTTCTCCGGTTTAGGTAGTCTATCACGCTAGGATCATTGAACACTCACAGAAAAGCAGGAGAGAAGATTTCTTCAATAGGCAGTTATGAATCCTAAATAATTGCCTGACATTATGATATAAATTTATGTGCAGATAAGGAGAAAAGTGTGGGTGGAGCATATGTAGATTTTCATAATGAATTTGGTGATTTGATTTTCATTGTAGTATCCTGATGACTTTTTCACTGGGGGAAAGAGGATCATTAGTCACAGTTGGGGAACCAACTTAAAAATAGGAAATGAAGTATATCGTAAACAGGCAATTGCAAATGGGGAAATATAAAGGGAGCAATGTTCAAGTCCTTGTTTTGACCAAACTCCTTATAGACGAATTTTAGTGTCTAAATTTGTGACTAACACAAAGTTATTTGGGTCAGAGGACAAGCTAAAAAAGAGACAAATGCAGGAAGTTCATAAATTGGTGTAAGTATGGATCAAATGGCAACGAGAACATTGGAGAGGTTTTAGGTAATAGCAAAAATGAATATTTATCAGGAGTTTACCATGTAATGTTCACTCTTCTAAGTCTATTATTTTACTTAGATTTATAATCACCATATGAAGTTAGTGCTATTATTATCCTCATTTCGTTAATGATGGACTTCAGATAGTTTGCCCAAGATTCTACACATGGCAAATAGTGGAGCTGGTCTTCAACCTAGGGATCCTGACTCAAAACTTGTGTACCTTACCACCACTCTAGGGAATTCATCAAATATATAGAAGATGAAGGGAATAGAATCCAGGAAAGAGACTAAAGATCCAGAAACCATTCAAAGAGGAAACTTCAAAAAGAAAAAAGGAAAAGAAAATTTATGAATTACCAAACCAGATATTGTCCTATTGGTTTATAATTGGGGAGCATTTACATCTGCATTTTTGTGAGTTCTAGTCAAATTAATTTAAGAGGAAACCAACCAATAGAAGAAGATTGACAATAAAAATGGCAAAATAGATGAAAATGAAGGTTTGGAAGAAAGACTTTATTATTTTTTAAACGTTTATTTTTGAGAGAGAGAGAGAGCTTGTGCACACGCATGCACACACACACACACACACACATGCGGGGGAGAGGCAAAGAGAAAGGGGGACAGAGGCTCTGAGGCAAGCTCCATGCTGACAGCAGAGAGCCCAATGCGGAGCTTGAACTCATGAACTTGAGATCATGACCTGAGCTGAAGATCCACCTGATGCTTAAGCGACTAAGCCACACGGGTGACCTGAGAAAGACTTTAAGGATAGAGTTTGAGAAAAGGGTCATTCATAGGATATATGTTGCTGTGTTTAACAAATTACTAAGAATAATTATGAGAACTCCTGAAAATAAAGATAGATCCAGCCTACAGAGTGATGCCAGGGAGAGTAGTCATGGCCTTACCAAACCAAGAGTTTCTCAAAAAAAGAGAGAGAGAGTGCATTGAAGTGGTCAGCTGTAGCCTTGAAGTCAGACAGACAGAAGTTTAAGTCCTGACTCTCCAGGGCACTGAGAAGTTATTTAATCCCTCTGAGATGTGGTTTCATCACCTGCCAACTGTAGATAATCATACTTCACTGTGCAGTGGGGCACAGCACATAATTGGCACTGAAAAAATGTGGACTGTTATTGTGATTAAGATGACCTTATGTGTGTGTGTGTGACGTGCCCCAAAAAGCCTTTCTCATTCGTTAGGCTGAAGGGTGTTGAGGGTTTCAATTTGATTTTACCCTCAGCTAAGATTCTTAGGCTCAGCTCTGAACTTCCATTTATATCTTGGTATGGATGATGGGAAATCACTGTGACCTTCCTGATCCTTGGGAAAATACATACTCTTGCGGCAGTCTCTTATAAATCAGAGCAGCTTACATATTTATTTCTTGATTACCTTTTCTTAATAGCTGATAATTATATAGTGATCTCTTGTGTGTCTCTTCCAAATGGTGTTTCTTGGTTGCTTGGTTTGTTTTGATGATCCTTTTAAGCCTGTAAAGCAAAAGGAGAAGGGCAATGTGTGTTTGCCTTTCTTGTGAGAGCGGACTCTTTTTGTTTGCCATTTCTTATCTCCTAGATTGAGAACTCTTGAGTCCAGGGACCAAACATATTGCGAGTCACAAAAACAACAATTCGCAAATAAGCCTTCTGCGATGGAAATGACAAGCTGAATAAAGACAAAGTAGAATGTGTTTATTATGACTCACAGGTTGCCTAGAACTTTAGAGTCCCTGCCCCATTTTGTTTAAATCAAACATGTCAGGTGATCTGGCCACAAGGACTTAGTGTGACACTAATGTGGATTTTGCTGGAACAAGGTCAGCAGTCAGAGCTGGAGAGCTACACCCTGGGGAATTCAGCTGTGACAGTTGCCCAGAAAATTATAATTTAAGAAATTATTTCCTAAATTTCAACAACATTTCTCATTGCTGGGCCATGTCATTTTTTTTTTTTTAATCTTATTTTTTTTTTCCCCATTTGCCTCGTGAGTAGGTGACTCTTTCTCAGTTGACAACAGTGAGAATTTGACCTAAGAGAGAAACAGGAAGAGAGAAATCAACCAGAACTTTGAAATTATGTATTTCCACTTCTATTAGACTTATAATTTCAAAGAAACAGAGAAATATTTTGAAAAAGGGAGTACCAGCCAAAAAAAAAAATTTACTATGAAAAGCAAATAGTTGATTAGAATTTGAGACTACGACTATTACTTTGTTATTTTTGTAAACTGACATCCACCTGAAGGACATAACTGTGGAAAAATGTATAAAATTAGAAACACACTGAAGATAAAGCATGCTAACCCTATCCTCTTAATTTTTACCTCAGCTTCAAATCTTCTGGTTACAGTCACAAAAAGACATGAAAGGTCAATGAAAAACAACATTTTTTGCTTAATCTTTAAAACTTCTTTACATGCTTTAGATGGCATCTCCCTGGAGCCTGGGGCCCCCCAACTCATCATAGATGCCTTGGAACTGTTGTTTCTGTATGTCCCTCAACAATGGCTTCTGAGATGGAATCTGCTCAGAAATGCAGTCAACATCTTTGTTAAAAAAAAAAAAAAAAGATGTTTTTGGTCAACTAGGGAAAGAGATCAGAAAATTTCGGCTGCAAATTAAAGTTGAGAGAGAGAGAGAGAGAGAGAGAGGGAGAGAGAGAAGGAGGGAGACGAGGCAGGGGGGTAGGGAGAGGGTTATGATGGGGACCGAAATGCATGTATTAATGGGACTTCAGACATCTTCATGTGTTACCCAATGCAGACAACTATGTTTTCCCTTATCCTTCACAATGCCTAAAAAAGTTGCCAATGTCCCCCATGTTCATTGTTTTCCCCTGCATTTATCCTTGTCTTTTTCAGGCTTGCATTGAAGTACATTAGGTACACATCATATCCAACAATGAGAAAGAGGGGATGGGTAAAAAGGACGGAGGCTCTCTATTCAGAGGTGTTGAATCTAGTCTTTTGTAAATGATGTAGGTACCACATTCTGGGTGAAACCTTTGTCAATTGAGGCAAAATGCCTGAGCATTTGCTTTACATTTTTTACATTTAGTTTTTAAAATTAACATCCATTTTGGAGAGAATAGATGAAGTTGTTAATGTGTTCTCCCGCAGTGAAGGAAGGCTCCAGAATGGCCCCGGGCTGCTTTCCTGAGACAGGGCACCTACTTTGCAAGTTAAGTTCAAATTCCAGTTTCCTTGTTCAACTTGAACAACACTCAGAAGTTGACTGCAAAAGTTTTTGTGTGTGTGTGTGTGTGTGTGTTTTCTCTATCCTCTTTTCCTGTTTTGTTTTGCTTTGCCTTGCTCCTAATCATCGGATTAAAGAATTCTGGATATAGATAAACTTTCCCTCCCCTCCCTCACCGCCCCCCCCCCCCCAACTGTTTTGACTGCTGAGGACTAGGCACCACAGTGCTTTGATGGATTCCCTATTTTGATGGTAAA